TTTATTCGACCCGCTAAATGTAAGGCATGCGTTCAACATGACCTGAGGCCCAACAACGGTCGGTCCTTAATCAACACAGATGGAAAGCACTACAGTCCAAAACTCTGTAAGTCTCAGTCCGGTCTCAACTTCATTTAACACTTAGTGGTACCATGACTACATAGTTCTCCAAGCAGATCCAGGTAACCACCTATAGCTCGCAGGTGACAAAATCACCCGGACTTCTACCGGTCTAAGCCAAATAAGCATTGACTTCATTGCGGATACCGGGGTAACAAGGATATAGTATAACAAAGGTAGACAAGGTATAATGCAGCAACGGTTGCAAACAACTCCTGAACGTAATGCATCAATTAAAGTAAAGCATTTAATTAATAATTGCAAACCGGGGAGAAAAATGCCCCGGGGCTTGCCTCTCTCGAAGGAGCTCGGGCGGTGATCGGGGCACTCCGGAAGTTCCACAACGTCCTCCTCGTCTGCTTCGGTCACTTCCTGCGGCTGCACCTCGAGCTGTTCCTCGGGCTCCTCGGGTATGACGACTGGGTTCTCAGTTTGTGATCCTGTATGATGCATATGCGTAAGTGCTTATGCAAAAGGTGCATCGGATGAAATGAGCACAATGGATATGCTTGAATGCAAGGTAGTCAACATCATCCAAGAACATGTACTACAAGCACATGTCATCTATTGCATTCTCTTCTTCTACTAATATGCTAAGTCAACACATCTCATTAAATGCTTCAAAGATACACCAAAGCTTCACTAATTCTTTAATCATGCATAAAGCAACATTTGATTAAACCCTAATTAATAATAGGTTTGAATAGCAACATCTATTTTTATAGCTTAGAAAAATCTTAGAAAATTACCATAACACACTACTACCCTAAGTAGTCTACCATCAGATTTTTATGGCATTTGGATAAGTGGAATAGCCTACACAAAAATGACAAGCTTGGACCTAATTATGAGCATGAAAATACTTTGTATTATGAAAAGTGTCAAACAACAGATGTAATATTTTTTCTATGTTCTACACAGCAAATAATCACTGTACAAAAATTATCACATGCATATTTTATACAAATTTTGCTCTCTAGCAAAAATAACAAAAGTCAGCCATTAAAGGCACTTTAACTACTTTTCACAATTTTTCTACAGGACATGCATGGCATATATTTTTCCTAGGAAGTACATTACACAAGAAGAGTAACAAACTTGGAAGCATATTTTTCTGATACATATAGGTTTTACTACACATTTTACAAGATATCAGCAATATCAAGGATTAAATAAAGCTCTACAGAAAAGTATCTCAAAAATGACATGCAATATTTTTATCATGTAGATCTGGTGACACGGAACACAACAAAATTTGTTTCAACACATTTGGAGCAAATTTGAGCAAGTTATAATTTCCAAAGCATTTAACAGAATTCTGAAAAAGCATTTCTTAAATCCTTTTTAAAACCAACCGATGAAAATGCTGGGTGCACCCGGATCTGAACACGCGTGTGCACACACAGGGACAGACAAACGGGCCCGGGGTTCAGCGGGACCCCACCTGCTAGCCGAACCAAAACAGAGGAGATCACCGGCGGCGAGAGCTTGCCGACGGTGAGGTCTTTGGTCCTGTGAAGGTGACCGGCGTGCTCCCCACACCCACGCGAACCCTGCGGTGCTCGTGGCATGGGCCAAAGAGCACGGGAAGCCGACCGCTGCCGTGCATGGCGGAGCGGCGGCGCGGGTCGTCGCCGGTGGAGCGTCTCCGGCCATGGCAGGGCGAGAGGAGGTGCTCGGGAGACTCAACGGTGCAGTGTGGTGCTCGTGCGCGAGAAAGAAAGGCGGGCAAGGAAGCGGAGCGGGGAAGTGCACGGGAGCGGAGCTCACCGGTGAGCTCGGCCATGCTCCGGCGAGCAATAGCGGTCGGCTCGGGCCTTAGCACGCCGAACTATGATGAGCACGAGCTGCGCGAGACCGGGGCGAATTCGTAGCGAAGATGTAGCGGGCTCCGGTGGTCAGGTGTGGCCGAAACGGCTACGCCGGCGATGGCGCTGCGGCGCGAGCGCCAAAGGCCGCGATTGTTACTTCTTCTTCTTGCCGAGCGAGAGAGTGGAGTGGGGAGTGAGAAGGAGCGCAGCGCGGCCGGGAAGGTGAAGGCGCGACAGGAGGGCGCGGGCAGCGAGCAGGCTGCATGCCAGTGTGTGTCATCCGGCGCATAAGCCATGCCTGCTGCATGCACACAGCCTACAGCCGACAAGTCGGCGGGCGCAAGGCAATGGGAAAAGGCAATGGCAAGGCGCAAGTGGCAGCTAAGCGAGCCCGGCCAGGCGTGGCCAGCTAGGCTAGAAAACGCAGGTCATGCCCATTTAAGTGAAATGTGATTTTTTTAAATTTATTTTCTATCCCTATTTCATTCAATGCAAAATTTTGAGCAATTTCAAAGTAGTTTTAAAAATTGGTGTAAAAATGAAAGTTGTTCCATTTTTCAAGATCTACAACTTTGCTTTTATGACCACAGTCCAATTCCAAATAGATTTTGAATTACAAAATAAACATCGATGATATGATTAAAGATATTTGACTTAACGTAAAATTTAAAAATAATTTACTGTTTTTTTTGAGCGAAGTATATAAGCATCGTCTCCACGAGGATAAAATAAAATATTTTACTGATCCACTAGAACTCACAATTTGTAACATGCATGCAAATGACATGTGGTGCAGTACCAAAATTTACCCAACAAACAACGCATTGCATATTTTTACATGGAGTGAATTGCCCGGTGAGTCCTTAATTTACTGTTATTTTGAAGCGAAGTATATAAGCATCGTCTCCACGAGGATAAAAGAAAATATTTTACTGATCCACTAGAACTCACAATTTGTAACATGCATGCAAATGACATGTGGTGTAGTAGCAAAATTTACCCAACAAACAACGCAATGCATATTTTTACATGGAGTGAATTGGACGGTGAGTCTTTAAACTTTTCTTCACTTCTCACCTAAGTCCATAACTTTTTTTTTCGCTCGTGATGGGTCCATGAAATTTATTTACGTCCTAGCCGCCATCCAAAGTAGGCCACATAGGACTTTGCTGCCTACGTGGTCACTTATGTGGCGCCACATGCTCTTTTTTCATTATATAAACTGGCTGAAACTTTGAAAAAATAGAATAAAATCATAGAAAAATCGTAAAAAGGAAAATCTAGTTTTGTTAGACTCCATATGAGTAAATCTATGCAATTGATATATAATATGACATGCTTTTAGTTTAAAGTTTTTGCTGTAGCTATAGATCTACATGTTTTTGTGTTTAATTCATACCTGCAGCTCCTTTGCTCAATTGTGGTGAAATTTTTATGGTTTCATTATATGCTTTAGCTATGGTAAAAATTCCAGCTTCAATGGAGTATGTATGACTGAGTTATTGATTTAACTAGGTTTATACTTGTTTAATAGTTAATAAATAGTTAAAAGGCGTAAAAATTCAAAATGTGCTTCCATTTCCTTTTGATGATGTTGTTATGCATTGCGAACACTTGACATCACAATGTTGTTAAAAAAATGTTGAGCTTTAGATTTATCTTTGCATCACATGATTTCTTGCAATGAAAATTTCTTTTTATTGTAGTAATTTATCTACTAATTTTGGGTATGTAATATTTTTATAGTAGCTATTTTTTGTTATCATCTATCACCCATAAAAATCTCAGCTTCAAATTAAATGTTTGGTAATAGTGGGCATGTTTTAACTATTTATTAACTATTAAACAATCATAAACCTAGGTAGATCAATAACTCAATCATGCATGCTCCATTGAATCTAATTTTTTTTTATCATAGCTCAAGCATACAATGAGTAGCTTATCATAAAAATTTCACCACAATTGGAGCACATGAGCTGCAGTTATGAATTAAACACAGAAACACATAGATCAACTTAAATCTACTGCTTACAACAAAACTGTAGACTAAAATATGTCATATTATATATCTATATTGCATAAATCTACTCATGTGGAGACTAACAGAAATGGATTTTCCTTTTTACGGTATCTATGATTTTATACAAGTTTTTAAAGTTTCAGCTAGTTTATGAAATAAAAAGGGCACGTGACGCCACCTCAGCTGTCACATAGGCAGCAGAGTTCTATGTGGCCTGTTTTGGATGACGGTTAGGACGTAGACAAAGCCCATGGACCCAGGCGAGTGAAAAAAAATCATAGACCTAGGCGAGAAATAGGAAAAAGTTTTAGGACTCACAACGCAATTCAATCTATTATTTATTATTTTGTATCGCCTCTAGAAATTAAGAGTCATTTTATTTCTTTCACGAAAGCATGGTCCTCGGTAAAAAAAAAAATATACAAAATGTGTATTAGCATTGCCGCCGGCGTATTACATGAGCCTGAATTTGAGACAGCAGATACTTTGCTCTTGATTTGATTGTGTGAACAAAATATACGAAGACAATTTGATTTCTCCCAAATATTCTGAATTATTATGATACAGTGTGACTCTCGCAAAGTCGGCGAGGTTCACACATGTGCAAGCAAATTAATATAGACGCCTATGGTAGAAACGTCGCTTGAACTAATTTTCAACTGGGGCCTTGTTTAGATGCATCCCAAATTCCAAGTTTTTTCATTCTCTTTCCATTACATCAATTTTTAGCCGCTTGCATGGAGTATTAAATGTAGGTAAAAAAATAACTAATTACACAGTTTAGTTGGAAATCACGAGATGAATCTTTTGAACCTAGTTGATCCACGATTGGACAATATTTGTCAAATAAGACGAAAATGGTACTATTTATCGGTTTGAAATTTTTTCGCAATCTAAACAGGCCTGGGTCAGTTTATTTCAGCATTCTGTCTCACCCAACGCGCTATTGAATCAACCGAAACACCGTGAAAGCGAAGCGAAGAAGACGACAAGGTACACAAGACTTTTCCACAATTCCACCTGTCCCTATCCACGACCCCCGACATTCCATGGGCGACTCCGGCGGACCCCACCACCACCGCCCTTCGCCGCCGCCGCTGTCGGACGCCGGCAAGCGACGGCGCCTCCCCAACGTCCGCCTCGCCGGCTCCGTCCCGCTCCCTTCCCACCTGCCCCACCCGCGCCGCGTCCCCATCGTCCCCGCCACCAGGTCCCGCAAACCCCTCCACCTTCAGCACAACAGCAACCACCATGACCACCCCTCCGCGGAGCCACCCCAAACCCTCCTAAAACCCTTCGCCGACAGCAGCGACGAAGTCGTCCTGGCCGCCGCCTTCCCCCGCAAGGCCAGGAGGGCCCCAAAGTCCACGGCAGCGGAGGCAAACGGAGGGGCGGAGGATTCGGAGACGGGGACGGAGATGGAGGAGCAGGAGGAAGCGGGGGAGGAAGTGGTGGACGTGCCGAGCTGGCTGTGGGGGATGGGGATGGGGCGCTACGCGGCGGCGTTCGAGGCGCACGAGGTGGATGCTGAGGTGCTCCCCTGGCTCACTATGGACGACCTCCGGGACATGGGCATTGGTGCCGTCGGAGCACGCCGCAAGCTCTTCTGTGCCATCCAGAGGCTCACTTCGCAGCCGCCGCCACGGAGGTGAAACGTTCTGTCTGACCTTCGTGCTGTGGGCATGCTAGCTAGTCCGGCGCCGCCTCTTTGCTAGGGGACTAGATGCATGGGTCTTAGGAGTAGGTGTCCAAAGTGTAAAAATGACAAGGTTTGATCTTTGCTTAACTGTGAAACTGTAGCGTGGTCGGTTCGTGGCCCCGTCCCATAGTGTAGATGTGGAGAAGGCGAAATAGGAATGCTAACTCCACTGCTTTTGATGTTGTCTAATGCTTTCATGCAAGTGCTAGGATGCTGTGTCGTATGATGTAAATGTGAAAAATATGGAATAGTAATGCTGAGTTGTTGACGTCATGTTTCGAACATAATTGCTCCATTCTTTTCTTCATCTCAGTGGATTGGATTAGTGGAATTTCGACATCTTGGATACTGAAACATGCTATGCGTGTGCATTGTGTTATGAATTTAGGTTCATCTTGTAGGTGAGAATTGCATAGAAATTTTAAGTAGGGAGTTTGTCTGTGCTCCATTGCTATTTCCAAATTGCTTTTGTAGTGTTAGTGTTCCCACATGCTAAGATTGCTGAAAATGTTCATTTTTTTGGGTGTGCCAAATATCTTGCCTAAGAATTTAAATTATGCCGTGGTGGATTTTGCATAGCTGATCATCTGCTGCAGAGAACAAGTAAGTTTGAATGTCAATGATTCTTACCTTTTCTAAATGCTATTACTAGCCTTCAGTGAAATGATTGTTTTTACTATTGTAGTACAAGAAAATATTCAACTTACCTTATTCGCCATCTTATTGGGTACTGTTTACTGCATTCCATTCTAGTGTTTGTTCTTGATTAGTTGCTTCAGGGTATACAACCCATGAGACAGTACACTTGAAAATGATAATATACTACATTTAGCTGTGCCCCTCTGATGTCCTTTGGAGTTGTAATGGCCAGTAAGTATGAGACTTAACTTTATTAATGACTTTGCAGTTTTCATTACTATTAATGTTTAATGCGGGGCTTTTAGAGAAAAGAGTTCTTTATAATACTCCCTCCGGTCCAGTTTATAAGGAATTTCGTGTAGGTCAAGAGTCAAACTTTATAATCTTTGACCAATAAGTTGGCTAACAACTTTTAGCTATTGACTATTGTAATACAAACTTGATATTGTTAGATTTGTAATCAAATGTACTATCCAATGACCATAAGTTTATAATCATAAATAGTATAATATAAAATAATTGAATGGTCAAAGTATAGTTTAGGAGACCGTGCCATGTCGAAAGATGCCTTATAAAGTGGACCTGAGGGAGTAGTATTAAATAATTTTCTTAAATCTTAATCATCCTAAACTGGCATGCATATATGTTGGAAATTGACATTGATGCCTTCTCAAGGCATTTATGTTTAGCTTCTCTAGAACTAATTATTTTGATTGTTTACATATACTTTTGCATTAGCAGTGTCCTGAAAATTGGTGATTTGGTGAACTTGTTGTGAAATTGACATTGCCATGCCCAGCCTAATATTGTTCAGATGATAGTTTATGGATATGACATAAGTAAGCTTCAATAAGTGGCCACACAGTTCAATATTTTAGTTTTTCTGAATTCACCCCGTTTTCCTTGATCCTAGTTGGAGCAATTGATAAGTTGTTATTCCTGTCTATGTAGATTAAGTATGATTAGTTCCAATGATTAGCTTTCTTTCCCGTCCAAATTGGCAATTATTTATATTTTGGCTTTTAAGCCACCTTTGGCCACATTACTGTTTCTGTAGACTGACATATCTCCTCATCTCTGTGTTTCCACTGCATTCCTGAAACATTTCAGGACTGAGTTGTTAATATCCTTTTTGAATCTCTTCTGTTTTTTTTAATATTTTACTGCTAGTGTATGTAGGGACTATTGTCTCTTCTGTATTCACATCGTTGGGCATGCCAGTAAATGTTTCTGAAACTTTGACCTGCATTTGCTTTCTGAAGTGGCAGAATTACACTCTAGGATATTTCTTAAGACCTGGTTTGTACTGCATGTTGTTCTATCAATCCTTTTATTATCAGACTTGATATTATTCTCTGGTTTTTGTCTGAGCAGTGAATCATACCTTATCATTGTTCAAGGCAGAATTTTACTCGATGCCACCAAACTATTAAGCTTGTTTGCGAAATTGGAAAGAGCTAATGTTTTCCTGCGGTCATAAATGTTTTTACAGGTTCCATGTTGGAGTGCCAGTTGAACAACTTTTAGAAGCTAAGTGAAAAAGATGGCGAGTCATGTGAAGGCGAACCTGGAAAACTGTTAGAAGTAATCCTTGTGTTTAGTGCTAGTACTAGTAGTATAGGGCCTTTTAGCTGGCTGCCGACATATAGGTCGGTTTGCTCTGGTTTCTTAGACAGGAAGTCTAGCTACTGCCCCTCACAGGAAGTAGTCAATTTTCTTTTTACTATAGCAGACAGCAGCAGCAGTATAGGTCTGTTGTTTTTGCTTAGGCTCCGTTTAGATGTCCTCAAAACCCAAAATTTTTTACACAGTACCCGTCACATCGAATCTTGCGGCACATGCATAGAGTACTAAATGTAGACGAAAAAAAAACTAATTACACAGTTGGCCGAGAAATCGTGAGACGAATCTTTTAAGCCTAAATAGTTCATAATTGAATAATTTTTGTCAAATACAAACAAAAGTGCTACAGTAGCCAAAAGTCAAAAATTTTCGGAACTAAACACGCCCTTACTCCCTCCATACCTAGTGGGACCCAGCAGGCCTGACCAGCACAGCACCGGCTCCGTTCCCAGCGCAGAGATGGGGTGAGAGGCAACAAGCAATGGGCCGTGTTTAGTTCGGCCAATTCGGCGCCGATGAAATCACTGTAGCTTTTTGTTTTTGTTTGGTAATAATTGTTCAATTGTTGACTAATTAGGCTCAAAACGTTCGTCTCGTAAAGTTAAACCAAACTGTACAATTAGTTTTTGATTTCATAAATATTTAATACTCCATGTATGTACCGCAAGTTTGATGTCACGAGAAATCTTCTTTTCACATAGTGTCAAAGTTGGGAATTTGGTGAAACTAAACATGGCCAAGGAAGTTTGGGGGAAAGCGATGAACAAGAGACTGGCTGATATTTGTAGGGGTATTTTTGCAATTTCCTGTCTGTCATTGGTTGCTGTGCCAGTTCCTAGAATTGCAATTATTTCGGGGGGACGGAGGGAGCATGCATATTCAATATGAATGTTAAGCCAGTTAGCTTGAATAACAGAACCTCTGTTCTAACCCCAGCCCCAACTACTTCCCTCTGCTCATCCTATAGCTGTTGTTCTTCTAACGGAAACAATGTGCTTATGCAAGCTAATGAATGAAAAGAAATCTTCACTCCTAAAAAGGCTGAAAGGGAATCGTCAACAATAGGATTTGGCGTGCCTTCCCACCCCGCGAGCCACCTCTGCATAATAACAAAAAAAGGAGAAGACCAGTGCCCCACCCCTGCCGTCCTGCGCCCATCTGCCCTGCCCAGCCCAGCCCCGTCCCAATGCCGACCCATGCACACCGAGGGGGGCCGAGCGTGGCGCTGGAAGCGGAGGAGTCCGTCGACATGGCAAGGGATTGGAGGTGGCAGCGGTATGGTTTGGCCGGGGCAGGGGCAGCGCAGCTGCACGGCAAGGGTTTGTGGGTGGTTGGGCAAGTGGAACTAGGCCAGACTCGTGATACCATGTAGGATAGACCAATGTTTTCAGATTGTATTATCGAGGCTAGTCGTATGACCATCGATCACAGTGAACATATAATATGGTATGCTTTAGTACAAATTTTTTATTGTAGCTCCAGATCTATGATTTCTATAATTACTTCATAGCTGCAGTTTCTATGATCCAATTGTGGTGAAATTTTTATGATGAGCTAACTATTGTATGTTTGAACTGCAGTAAAAAATTTATACTCATTGGATCATGTATAACTTTGTTATAGATTTATTTAGGTGTATGCTTGTTAAAAAGTATTTATAAATTACAGAAAAACATAAATCTAAAGTTACAGAAAAAAATTGTATTAAAGCATACCATATTATATGTTTACTGTGTAGATCTACTCATGTAGAGTCCAACAAAATTGGATTTTTTATTTTATGATTTTTTGGTGATTTACTATGATTTTTCAGAGATTCAGCCAAAATAAATACAAAAGAAAAAGACAAAACCGCTTTTGAAAACCTCTTATAACTGGCTAGGGAGGTAAAACGAACGGTTTTAAGTCGTCGATAAGGGTCGATTAGTCGGTCCTAATCGGTCTAATCGGCTAGTCGGACATTTAGTCGTTCTTGTGCCTAGATGGCCTGATCGACCATGTATATACTATATATATGATGTAAATATATGTAAACATGGCCATAATAAATAGGTAAATGTTAGAGGCAAGCAACCAAGCACAGTTTGGCATGTAATCATGTTTGCAATGAATCATTATCATGGTGATTTGGCCACTTACCTGTAACTGCTGCTTGCTGATTTGGCCACTTACCTGTATCATGGTGGCTCATCTTGATGCTTGAGGCCTCCCGTGTCCGTCTTCCAGGCGTCGAGGAAGGAGCCTCAGAGGCGGGCGGATCTACTGGGTCCCGGCAGGGGAGGAGATAGGAGTGAGCGGAGGTGGAGGCATGGGCGGAGCTGCAGATGCCGGCGAGAGGCGCGGGTACGGAGCTGCGGACGCCCGACAGAGGCGCGGACGGAGCTGCGGACGTCGGCGAGGGAGATCCAGAGGCAGGCCGCCGCCGACTGCGAGAGAGAGCAGCGGCTGCCAGAGAGAGAAGCGGGACCTGGCAATGCGGCCGCAACTCCCACTAGGTTACTCACTCACCCCTCTTCTTCTTACCCTAATGGGCCAACAGCCAGGTGGGCCGAATTCTTTAGCTGGGCCAAATTCTCCCTCCCTCGAACTAGTCGTCCGGTTAGTCTGATCGGACGACTAATCGTGATTAGTCGCAACTTATCGGACGATAAGTTTTCTAATCGGTCTAAACTAATCGAGGGCCCTTATCGA